AACTCATCTAAAATATGAATGTGAACCGTGGTACTTTGTCGCGGTTACATCACGTTTACGCACCGCGCTTTTAATTATCTGTCGATTTCGTGTAATCCGTTCTATTTTCGGGAAAAGAGAGAAACTTGTGCGTGAAATTTGTGTGTGATTTCGGCGTTCGCGCTGTAATTCGCTCTGTCGTTTTTCAATATTTCGTGCGTTTCGCGGTATCTCACATCGCGTACGGGAGGGCCGAAATTTCGCGAGTTAGTGTTGTGTGAATGCAACAAGGAAATCTGAGAGGAGGAAGAGGCCGAGGAGGCATCGGGCAACAGCGGAGAAATCGGTGAGGTGAGTGTCTTACATTTTTATGTTATTTGCTACTTGTACAAAATAAAGCATCTGTTCTGTGTTTTTATTTTATTTATTCAAATGATTCGAACGAGGATTCGAATAAGTGTTAGAGACAAAATCATACGTATAAAATTTTGTGAGTTTATATTTAAAAGAAAGACTTTCAGTATTCTAGATAATTATTTTAATAAATACCAATTTTTTTTAATATAAAATATAAAGTATATGTAATACAATCATTTCGATTTTGTATAATTAGTCTGTAATAATCATATACATATTTGTATTTTTACAGTTTAACATACACAGTTGACGATGTACAACTCTGCTGTTGCGTATCAGTGAGTGACAAATTATTTTTTATTTTAAAGTGACGTTGCGCATACAATTACTTCTTTACATGTATACAAATTCTTAAAAATATACAATGCTCGACCACAAACTGCGCGCGCGAAGCGCGCGTTTTGCCATTATAAATTTTCAAATTATGAATTAATTAAATTGATTTCGACTTCTTGTAAAGTTTAGCTAAATACAATCTCTGGAAATTACGCCAGCAAAGTATGCGATAAATATTTTTCTGTGAAGACATCCGGCTTACTCACCTCCGAAAATATATAATAAGATGCATTGGATGAATGGCGCTAGGTAAATAATTCTTTTCGCGTGATGAATGTGCCGACACTCGAAGGAAAGCCGGTAGAAAGAAAATAAGATAGCCTAGATAAAGATGCGCCGGTATGCACGCGCACATAATGTCGCGGATAATCCCGGAAAACGCTTGCAGATAGAGAGCGAAATAGAAAATCCGCAGCTAAAAATTTTATTCTCTCCCGTTTACTTCTCTAGGAAAAATAACTTGCCGCGCTGGTAGGCGGATATATATTCGTCTTGAGAGAAATCCTTTTTAGCGCGCGAAACCGTCTTGCTGGGTTTACCTGTTTGCGCATATGCCCGTGTGCACATCAAACATCGAATTTCCAGACGAAATGGAGAAGCGAAAATACGAAAGCGAAAATGTTATGTAAAAAAAAGTCGGAGCGAAAATAAGTCACTGGCTCCCTCGTTAAATGTTCATAGTTTATCGCATTTTGAGGGAAATACGATTCTCGCTCTTTGAAGAAACTAGGATACTACCTTGAAAAAACTAACGTACTGAATTAGATTCAACCGTACTTATCGCCTTTAAAATAAATCTGACGTATAAAACGACGTAGTCATAGCTGTATAGGTATGTATATCCGCAACCTGGGATTTTGCTCAGTCGTTCATAGATAAAAGGTGTGGAACAAAGGAGGGAGAGAGAGAGAGACTGCACGGGTATGCATGCGTATCGAAACTTTTAACAGACACCTGTTATACGTACACGTGACGAAAGTGCTTCTAATTAAAATTCTCGACATTACTCGGTGAGTCTTCAAGTGCAACAAGAATCGCTCGTTTATTCCGAACTCA